CATATAACCTGCCTAATTTTTTCACGAAGTAAACGTTTTGGTAAATTGATAGTATTAGTCGCCATGTTGAGGTTAGAATGGATAACGAAATCTGTAATTTCTTAATTTTTTCCTGTTTTTGGTACAAAACACACCAGAGCCAGATGCATTAGCATGTGTGTTTTAATCGTGGAAAAGGAAATTTTATTCTATGCGATTAATACGAAGTATTTTGTATCCAACAAAAATGGTATTTTTGTCGATAAAACAGACGGCTTTAGCATCCTCTTAAGGCATTATACATATATATAATAATTGTCAGCAATTATCTACGGCTGTCGGCATAATTATTGCTGTTTTTACCGACTGTACGCAAATATCGAGTATCGAAAATATTTTCGATATTTTTGTAAATCGCGAAAATTTAAATTTTAGAACGGTGTATACAGATCACACTCAATTAAAGAATTGACTGATTTCGAAGAAACTCTTGAGACTTTAAAACGATTATATTGAAGCAAACTTCGAATCTTTACTGTATGCCGCGTATACTATGGTCAATCTCTCTCCTATAGGAATAATAAGTTTGTTTTTGTATTGTTGCATTGAATTGCGCAGCACTAGAAATTTTCTTCTCGCTTCCGCCACACTTCCAATGTTTACATCTCTGCGTCATCGACACCTATTTCACTTTAAGTACAGAAAGTGTAACACTAGTTCAGCCACAAAAAAAATAGACCTAGCGTGCATGTGTACGTGCACACCGTCACTAATGTCATAACGTGTCCCATAATTGGTCATATGGCCGCGCAGTTGTGTGCAGTTGTGCGAGATGATGTGTTTGACAAATGTTGACGAACGGGTCAGAGCTACGTTTTGTTATTGCGTCTTTGACAAGACGGGAATTTATCAGTGATAAAAGAGTGAAATAAAGTTAAAGGTTGTACGTTAAAAGTTGCTTCGGTACGTGTGACACTGTTGGACTGAATTAAATAACCAAAAAGCCAATGTAATGTATATATATATGCGTGCGCTATATAACCTTGCAAGAAGGTTGAAGGCGCTATAATCCACCAGCCGGTGGAGTAGAAGGAAAAAAAAAGTATACATATATGTATGCAGCTTTGGTCATACGTAATAATATAACGTGATATGAAAACGTTCACGCACAAATTGACACAAACGTGTCTACATTTAACAAAAAATAAAAATAAATAAATTAAAAAAACAATTATTGAGAAACAATATTTGTTTATAATAGTTTTAATGTCATCATTAGTCCAGCTCCCCTTTGGCTTTTTTATTATCGCCTTTCCGCGAAAAATTCCCGCAATCAAGGATAGGCTTTATATTTATGACCAAGGCTATATAATAACGAAGTATTATATTGAGATATAAGAATAGTGTATCTCAACATGTGTAAAATGTTTAGGCAGATTATTATAGGCTGAATCAACAACATCTATAACGTGCTCTTTGCATCTTGTTTCTTGTTTTTTACCACTTTTTGCCTCTTATATCCTGATCCTTCATTTTCGCCCGGGATAAATGTTGACGCGCGAACTTCGGAAGAGACAGGAAACACACATGATAAGAAACACGATTGTCAATAAAACGGTCGCAAGGAGGGAAGAAGGCAAGAGGTGAAAAGCTAGAAAGCAGGAAGCAAAAAGAGCACATTGTAGATCCAGCCGAATTTGTATACACGCGCGATAATAAGTAACAAAAGCAATGGCTCGGGTAAATATAATGTTTAGTTTAACCCAATATCGTTTATGGCGAAAAAGGAGAACGATCTTTGCCTGCCCTTTATGCCAATCGAAACCGGGAAACCTAAGAATAATTTTATCTCGCGTACGTGCGCTTATCTTCTAGCTTATCCTTAATTCAATATTCTGTAGTTTATCAGGAGTTGCAATATGTATCACATCTAGTTTATCACTGTTTCAATATCGATACCAAGTTCAATATCAATAACATATCATAGTATTCCACGGTAAGTAAATCACGGAAGTGGACGTCTACTGAATTCATTCGATATCTTTTCTAGCAAAATCAACGGAGATGCAAAACACTTTGAGATTGGTTGCCTGTTTATTATTGCTTCTTGATGCCGCGAGGGCTGTGGCTTCATCCTCGTCGTCCCCGTCGCCGTTCTCTCCGATCGTCGTCCACGCGGAATACTTACACAAATATCAAGAAACCACAAATGCCACAGTTGAATATGTGTTTTTGTATCCTGCCAGCAATGTAAGTCTCGAAGCTAAAGGCATTTTCCAGCAAAAGACAGAGTTGACGCACAGTTCCATTCTTGTTTAATATTGGCATGCAACGAGAATGAAATGATTCACCGTATTGCACTGTGTCATCTGTGTGTCTCTTGCTGGAAAACGCTTTAATTCATTCATAAATACATTTTCTACTTATTATTGTGGCTAAAGCTTATATATCGCGGCATTGCTGCAATAGTGTCATATCTCGAAAAGTACACGCCAATATCCATCTTTTCCAATGAATAATTCAAAATTGTTTTTGTTTTCATTTTTTTCGAGATATGACACTATTGCAGCAATGCCGCGATATTTATAATATATTTGCAGGTATCTATGGGAACAGCGAGAATTAAGATAGAAAGCAACGCGACCCATAGTTTGCCGCTGATAATAGTAGTGCGTCAAACAACTGGTATTCTGTCCTGGCAGATACCTCTGCTTGTCAACAGCGCGGATTTAGATACTGTGATATACAATAAAACTAGTCGTACTCTGTGCTCCAACAAGTATTACCGATACGCACAAGATGATGAGGAGTATGTTATCGTCGGTATCTCCACGGCCAGTCGTGAGAATATCTTCTTTGAGATCAGCGTGGTGGAAGTTACAGACTTTTATTTAAGGTACATATTGCACGAGGATCGCAGGACCGTCAAAGAAACGAAGCCGAAAATATGGCTCGCTCATAAGTTTTCCCATTTGATTCTCTTTCTAGTTCCGAAAAAGAAGTGGAGGTGCAGATTTCTCCATCCGAACCTATATATTATGGCTACATCTTCTCGAAACAATCTCAGCCAGAGGAGAACTCGTCAGTCATCGTTCGCGTCGAATCGGATAACGACGTCTGCATGACCGTCTCCGTGCAAAATACATCGGTGAGTCGCAATGGTATATAGAGAGGCCTCGATAGAATCAATTAATACTTATGAATCTATACCTTTCAGTGTCCTGTATTTGATTTGGAACGAAACATCGAGTTCTCTGGGCACTGGCAGACTGTGAGCAGAAAAGGAGGTATTACAGTACCGGTGAGCTATACTATAATAACCTTTCTGAGAATGACTGATGTATTTTATATGTATATGTAAAACTGCGATGTATACATATATAAAATGACACAAAGAAATTAATAGCAATATTATTAGTCACCAAAATCTAGCCTCGATTGCAAAAAGCTTTTCTCTATTTAATTATGTTATCCATTTAGCGATAATAACTTATATTATCTAATAACTTATTGCAAAAAAATTAAAATTAAGTTTTGCAGACTTTTGATGATTGATAGAATAATGTTTACTTAACTCGTTCATGATAATAACTCAAAAATCACGTTTTTTTATTTAGCTGTATTATTTTTAAAGGATGCAACACGATGTAACATGAAATTATTATAATATACTATTATAATACAACAGTATTATAATTATTATTGTTAGAATATATATAAAATTGTTATAATACTTGTTTGAGTACCGGCAAGCTATAACTATAATAATTTTTCCGAGGATGATTGATGTATTTTATATGTATATGTATACTTATCACAGATTTGCTTCAAAAATGACATAACTGAAAGAAATTAATAGAAATATTATTAGACACCAAAATCTAGCCTCGATTGCGAAAAGCTTTTCTCTATTTAATTATGTTATCCACTTAGCGATCTAATTCAACTTATTATTGCACAAAAATTAAAATTAAGTTTTCCAGACTTTTGATGATTGATAGAATAATGTTTACTTAATTCGTTCATGATAATAACTCAAAAATCACGTTTTTAAAAGTTGTATTACTTTTAAAGGATGCAACATGATGTAATATAAAATTGTTGTAATACACTATTATAATACAACAGTATTGTTGTTACAATATATTATAAAACTGTTATAATATTTCAGAGAGAGGCTTATCCGTTAGGGTTCTTCGTTGTACTTGTCGTCAAAGGGGAGGACACCGACTGCAATGGGTTATCCAGTAGTAATCCTCTTCGTACCAAAAACGTTACATTAATCGTAAGCCCAACTATCACCAAGCGGGACTACGTCGTTGCGTCGGCATTAGCGGCGGCAATTGTACTAGGTTTTTGCGTCTGCTATATAACGGCCGAAATAGTGTTCAGTATCAGAGAGAGCAAGAGACTCGCGACGCAAGAGCCGATAAACGAACAAAGCCAAGATGTTAACGAACACATGCCGAGTCCATCGATGGTGGAAGAGGTAATACTAATAGTAATATAATTCAAATATACTTCAGGGTGAGGCATATAAAGTGTGACAGTTAGGTATTTTAAAAATTAAGAAAGATACGAAAAAATTTCGGAGTTTCAAGGCGAACGTATGATTAATGCTAATCAAATAAATGCTGAAATAACAAGAAAAAGGTGTCTCATCCTGTATGTCATGCGTTCTGTTTTTTTTTTTTTAAGTACGTTTACGATTCAATGTCAATGTAATAATATTGCAATATTTCGTCCCAGAAGAGGTCCCCGAATCAGTGGAATTCTATTGAAGAAGATTCATCCCTGGACGAGGACGACATAGATCTAATGGAGGACGCTCTCTCCGACAAGGACGTGATACGTACGAAGGTCATCCTCTCGGTCTGCGATCTCGCGCGCAAGGAGCCGAGGATACTGCGACATAAGTCCCGTTTATATTTATATTACCTGGCGACCGTCGCGATATTCTACACGCTGCCGGTCGTACAGCTGGCGGTGACGTATCAGCGCGTGCTGCACACGACCGGGAATCAGGACATGTGCTACTACAACTTCCTGTGCGCCCATCCGCTGGGCCTGGTGTCCGACTTCAATCACGTGTTCTCGAATTTCGGATATGTCATGCTGGGCCTGCTGTTCATATTTCTGACTTACTCACGGGAGCGGAACGAGCCGGACAAGGAGAAAATCAAGTGCTACGGCATACCGCAGCATTACGGCCTGTTCTACGCAATGGGCACCGCGCTAATAATGGAAGGTATACTGTCGGCGAGCTACCACGTGTGCCCTAGCCGTAGCAATTTTCAATTTGGTAAGTATAGCATTGAATGCAAAGTACTCTGATCCCTCGATTTACGCGGAGTATTCGTTTCACGTGGTTTTTTTTCCGCGGTTGAGAATCACGTAAATGGAGCCTGCCAGTAAAAAAAAGATACGTACGAAAAAAGCCCGTTATAAATATATTTATTTCACATATTTGCACAAAACCAATAATAATGAAAGTAAAACGATACGTCTGTTACTTTTTACTTACTTCGAATATTCGAAGCTTCGAAATTTCGAAAAATACATTCGTGCAAATTTAATTAAAAAATTAATAATTTTTATTAATTTTACGATTTTAAATTTTCTGTTTTTAAGATTGTTTTATGCTGAGGAAGATTTAATGACGTCGAAACAATTATATTAATTTATTATATTTTTG